GGGGGGGCTCAGAGAATGGACCTTTTTCCCGCCAAATTGCCCTCTTTGAGAAATGGTGATCCTTTAATGCCAACACTTTCCATTTCCCTCTCTGCAAAGGGGGACGTTTGGAGAAAGGAAGACGTGTGGGGAAATTACTGGGCTTACGTGTACTAAACGTCGCGTGTGTGTGCTTCTTATACGTGCTCGCATATGCGAGTCCTTAATTGCCCTTGGCTAATACAGATATGCAATAGCGTGACTGGAGATACAGGAGATTTAGATAAGAGCTTGTAAAGTAATGGCCCGTGTTTGTGAGTTTATGTATTTATATTTATTTATTTATCTTATATGCTGCCCACTCTACCCAAAGGTCTACCTCATTTAAAGAAAAGCAGACTCTTGCTTATTCACCGTCATTCAGGCCCTCTATGTGTTTGCCAAATTCTGTCTTTTGGGAGCCGCTTCCTCTACTATACTATAAGGATTGTTTTTTCTTAAGCTTCATATTTGAAGCCTACAAGACTTTAACAGTATGATTGTTTTGTTTATATTCTCCCATTCTCCTAGTTTAGATACTTACAGAAAAGGGACAAATACATAAATTAAATAAATGGGAAGTAAAATATTTTTAAAAGCTGTGATACCCATAATAGTACACAAGAGTTTTATTATGACAATTTGAAAAGAAAGGCAGATATCCCAAAAGGCACACACACATAAATATAACATTTTATAGAAGGAAACAAATGCCATGCCCTCTGCAGCCTGAGCAGCAGTCCAAACCTTGACTGAAGTGATAATTTTTTGCCTGCCAGAGGAAATAGGGGCATGAGGGAGCCAGTCTAACCTTTGATGAAAAAAAGTTTCATGGTCTGGGATCAGCCACTGGGAAGGCAATTTTATGGAGATTATTTAACAAGGGAGTTCTTGTAACTGCCACCGATCACTAGTTGGATTGCAAGGTTTTGGATCAGCTATAGTTTCTGAACAAAGGGAGCTCGAGTAAAGTGTGTTGTTTCTATTACATGCCATCAAATGGCTTCCAGTTGACAGCATTCCTAATTGGGTTCTTGAGCCATGTGACATTTTGTCAAGGAGAAGCTGGCCATTGCTCTCCTCCAGTGAGTTTCCATGCCGGAGTGAGGATTTTAACTCCGCTTTCTTGAGTTCTAGTCTGTCACTATCCATTACATCATACTGGTTCTTATAGAAAATGTTAAGTAGTCCGAGTGGGATATAACTAAGGCACATGTAATCTTAGCTACATCAGAAAGTAAATGTTACAGAATGAATAAGACTTCATTTTGAGAGTGTTTAGGTTATGCAGCTTTAATGTGTTATTGGGAATAAAACATGCAGTGTGAAACTTGCTAGCAAATTGTAATGTAATAGTTTTGCAATACTGGAATAAAGTAAAGAACTTTAGAAAAAGTAGTAGAGCTTTGCCAAATTGTGGTTTAGACTATAGCCCCCAGATTTCCCTTGCAAATTAGTAGTTCTGGACCATAACCAAGAATTCCTCAACAGGACTCTGGAAGTTGGAAGCACAGATCTGCACTCCTCTAGTAGTGGTAGAAAATAGGAGGACCTATGCAGGCATTCCCATATATCTTTATAACAGCTGCAGCAGGAGATGCCTCCATTAGCCAGCAGTAGCTGTTTTTGTTAAGACTGTTTTCTTTTTCTGTTTTGTATTTGCTTTTGTATATTCTTCCCATTGTACCCCCTCTTTTTTTCCATTTTATGTTTCACCAGTACTCTTTCGTTTGTGCCATTCTTGCCTTTGATCTTCCTGCTTTATTTTTTACAGTCTAACTTTTAAGGATATATAATTCAGTCTTCAGAACAAAAGTAGAGCAATATCTTATAATTTTCAAAATGCCATATATTTTATAGGCTACAAATCATTATGATCCTGAGTTTTCTAGATGAATTGACTAGAGCAAAGGAGGGGTAAGAAATCAGGAAGTTCATTCGGAATTATGAATTCCATCATAGAACAGGGATTGAATACAACTTTGCAGAATTGTAGAGCGGGAAGTATGACAGTCACCCCCTTGCCCCCCAAGCTTGTGTGAGCAATGAAGCAGACAAAGTGTTGGTATCCTAGATAGCTAGCTAGCTCACACAATAATATCCTTCCCAGTGAGATATTGTGGGGGTTATAGATAGCAACAGGGAGGTCCTACTCTAACATTGCTGACAGTGGGAAAAATGGGTGCCTACTTTGTATGCAGCACTCCCAAAATGCTATGACAAATCTTTTTCTTGCACACACACAAGCTATCCTGGGGATTTAAAAGCCCATTACATAAAATTACACTTTGTTACCAGTTTTAGTCTTCAATTATTAAAAGCAGAAGCTTTCTGATAGAAAGTATTGCTACCTACTCTCAGATACGTGTATCTTGGACTGCGCTTCAGGGACTTGAAATTTCATCTCTGAGCACAATGTTTAATGCGTTCCAATGGGTTTTTTTGATCCGTTCAGCAATGTTTCGCTATAGCGAAGGTTAATCCGGAACGGATTAACCTCGCTATGTGAGGCACCACTGTATTTAATAAGAATGTTTTGGGCTGTATATTGTGATTTTAAATGTTGGAAGTCATCTTGTTAGGACTTGACTTTAAAAGATGGCATGTAATTTTTTTCAGTAATATTAATAATAGTGCTCAGAAAATTATTTTTTCTATGAAGCAAGGATTTTAAAAACTTACTCATTTTACTTGGGTCACCTTGATATCTCCCTGATGTGGAGAAGCTGGATAGGAGAAAGTGAAATGGCAAAGTTCTGCCAGTTCATGTTGGTCAGAAGGGAAGGTTAAGATGCTGGCTTTTCTGGGCTAGTTTTGGTCTTTTATAGTATATTCAAATACACCAGGCTTTGGTATGTTGGCTTCACTGACTGAAATAGTACTGATTGAAATGATACATAGACATCATATCTATGTTACATTTTAATATAGCTCAATTCAATCTGCTATATTAGATGATAAACAACATTCTTTTTCATATTTTAATAGTTTTAATATAAAATGAATGAATGCATACATTACTTATACCGTAGGTTTTTCTTTAATTATCTTCACACTTACAAGTTCTTGAGCTGTGGATATTTAATGGACAACATGTGCATAGCAGTACAGAACAACTTCTACCATAGGGGAAATGATTGAAAATAGATTTTCCATTTACCTGTGAAGTAATTATTAAAAGAGCCTCTCTATTGAATGTAGCTATAAAAATAATGTCCTTAGCAAAGTACATGTTTTAAATCCAAGTGAAACAGTGATAATTTGCTGCTAGAAATAACTTTAAAAGTCAGTACCTAATGAGAGGAACAATTATTCTGGAATAAAATTTTCTTTTTAAAAAATTGTAATTACCTGTGTTTCTTAAAGTGATAGGAAAAAGGCATGTTCATCTGTTGTTTCTTGTATTCCATCTCAGATAAAGTACATTTTAGAGACTGGTCTTTTTGTGGTGATAGCATAGTTAAGTTGCAAGATATTCATAGCCTTCCTTCCATTTTCTTTCCTTATGTGTTCTTGAGTTTGTTATTCTACTGATTGTTTATTGGGAATCAATAAAAATGGGGTCCTAGGCATCTATTTAAGGGTGCTTAAATACTCTATTTATATGCCTATGTTTATGTATCTATCTGTAATTGTACCTGTATCTATGTATCCAAATTAGATATAGATTTGGATATATAGATATAGGTACAGATATAGTAATAGAAAACAGCATATGCATAAGCATCATCATTGCCAAATATCCTCTCGTAAAAGCTAGTGGACTCCAGCACAGATGCAGTTCTGCAAACAGCTATAAAACTAAAGCAAAATCCCAGAGTAAAGTGAGGGTTTTAGTAAGCCAGACATTTCAAATTGATTTTTTTTCTGCATTGACCCAGTCTTGAAACAATATGCAAGGAATTCTCACACAGCTGGTGAAAAGGTGCATAATGCTCTGGATTCCTCCTTATGCTCTTGGATATGACTAAGGGTTAGAAACTTGTTCAAAGACTTTTTTCATTCCTCTATTCAGCTTTGATTGTGTGTGTATGGTAACAGTATTTCCCCTCTGTACTTACAAGAACTGCAATCAGAACTATCATCTGACAACTGAATTGCTTTAAAAAGTCTTGTATTTTCCTTGACATTTTCTCTCCCCAGTGCTGACACTGTCCACATTAGGGCCACAGTCCTATGTATATGTGGTAGAAATCAGAAACATTAATCTATGTAGGACCTGGTTCCATTCCTGTTTAGTTGGAAGTGACTACTGATTACCTTTCAGGTTTTATGTAAAATATCATTAATGACCATAGGCTGTCATTCTGGTTTGACTGGGAATAACAAAGTTCAATCTCTTCTATCTTTTCAAAGCCTGTGCCAACGGCACTGGCTCAGGTTGATCGAGAGAAGATTTATCAGTGGATCAATGAGCTTTCCAGCCCTGAGACTCGTGAAAATGCATTGTTGGAGCTGAGTAAAAAGCGAGAGTCTGTTCCTGATCTTGCCCCAATGTTATGGCACTCCTTTGGCACAATTGCAGCTCTCTTGCAGGTAGGTAGGCCATCTGTTTTGACTGAAAGAACCTGCCAAGCTGACTTACTATCTATTTATTTGGCAGCTCTCAGTGTTTCACTGCTCAGTCCTGCATGTGTCTACTCAAAATAAATGACACTGAATTGAATGCTACCTACTCTCAGATACGTGTATCTTGGACTGCGCTTCAGGGACTTGAAATTTCATCTCTGAGCACAATAAAAGTATATGTCAACAGAATTAGAAGATGGCAGTGGAGAACATGGACCATCCCAACTGGAAGATGGCATGTTGGGAGACTTGTGCATTAAACATTGCTATTGTAGTAAGAGATTGGGGCATATGTATTGTAGTTCCTCTGACATATTTATTCAGGTTTTCCAGATGTTTCTCTAATTACTATGTGGGTATAAATTCTATCAACGAGAGAGATGAATCAGCCATAAGTAATTAGTGAAAAGATTTAATAGTTCTTTAGTCTCAGAGTCTTTAAGTGTAGAAGCATTTTCACACAAATGTTTCCTCTTTTCTTTCTGGATAGGAAATTGTAAATATCTACCCATCTATAAATCCACCAACTTTGACAGCTCATCAGTCCAATAGAGTCTGTAATGCTTTGGCACTTCTACAGTGTGTTGCATCACATCCAGAAACCAGGTTTGTATGCTCTTTATGATGGTTCTTTGCTTGTGTGTTTTATGCCCAGACTTGGCAGAAAGTGGCATCAGCAAGCCTCTTACTTGCAGTTACCTGCATCTTGTTGTAAGTATAAATTAAAAACTCAAGTAAAGCATCAGAACAGCATGCTAAACAGCACCATTGAGTGGTTTGATTCAACCAATTGAACCTTAGCATGCTCTGAAAACTCTGTCTCATACATGGATTTTACAAGCTGGTGGTTGGTGCCCATCTCTATTTTGAAAAGCCCATGTTTGTTCTGCATGGCAAGCTACACTTGTAATTTAGGATTTCAAAATGAGTTTTGGCTACATTTGTATTATTTTCCAAGGAGAATTTTAAATTAGATATAGATGACAGAGAAATAGGAAGAATAGCTCAGCTGCAAATTCAATGAGGTGTTGTACCACCTCCTGCATAGCAGATAGAGGCTCCTAATGTAATGTACCATAGTGTAATGTAAAGCTATAGGCAATTTGTTTAAAGCCAAACTACTGTGTTGGGCCAAGGTAGGAAGCAACAGTAGGCTTACAGTTTTGTATCTATGGTCTAAAGCTCTGTACTTAGTTCCTTGAGAAATTTGTGGTAGTGCACATTACATGTGTGCCTATATACATGTATGTATGTATATCCATACACAAACACATGTATGTGTACATATATATGTTTGAGGAAGCACACAAGAGAGCGTATGTGTCAGAATTAGGGTTTTCAGCATGTTACTTTATAGTAGGTCCTAAGGAGCATGCAGTTTAAGCAGGTATACTCTTAGAACATGTATATAAACTCAAACATGTTCTGTGACACATCTGTAAGGAATCTTTGAACCAAGGCAATAGCACACTTTGGCACAGGGTTATGAAACTGAGACGTTTTATAGAACACACAAGAACTCGATATATATAATTATTTTATTGGGGAATGGAAAAAACAACAGTAAAGTGCCATCCAAGTCAAACAGATACACTTGCTTTAGAAATATTATGGGGACAGTGCAAGGCTAAGAGAGCTGCTACCTGAAAAGGAGGAGGAAAGAGAGAAATCCAATATGGGAATGGGGAGAATGATCCATACACATTCACACACATGGAGGAATAGATCGGACCACCAATGCATGGGGAAAGTACACCCAAAGATATATTCTGGTAGGCAGAATCACCTTGCTTGTTAGATTGTACTGAAGTTGGAAAACATTGTTAGTCCAAATAGTTTGTAAGTCTGTCCTGAGGACACCTTTGAGAGTCACAAGGGGAGGGGAGCCTTTAATAGTCATAATTTCTGATTCCAGCAGTGGTTATTGATTAGTAAATTTTTACTATTAAATATCCCCCCAGAGGCTTGTGGCACAGTGGTTAAACTGCTGTACTACAGCCAAAACTGTGTTCACAGCCTGGGGTTCAATCCCAGGTAGCCAGCTCAAGGTTGACTCAGCCTTCTGTCCTTCTGAGGTTGGTGAAATGAGTACCCAGCTTGCTGGGGTGTGTATGTGTGAAATGTGTAGCCTGCATAATTAACTTGTAAACTGTCCCGAGAGTGCTTTAGGCACTATGGGGCAGTATATAAGCAGCATGCTTTGATTTTCTTTGCTCCCAAAGGCATCCCCAGGGTCAAAGGGAATCCTAGGCAATCTTGGAACCTGAAATGGAGGATAAGGAAGCTTCCAATTCATTTAAATTAATTATTTCTGGTGCCCAGAACTAGTTTATGCCAGTGTTACTACACCTACAGGCTTTTATCCACTGTATTATTTAATCTTTTCCCAATAATAATAATCCTTGCATTATGACGAATAAGCAGCACAAAAAAGTTGTTGCCTGTGAGAGGAGGATTAGAATTAATGTTAGTGCAACAGATGGACCATGCGATCTATATAAGGAATATTCTAACGGATGTGAATTTTCAGTTGTCTTTTCCTCTTACGCTTTCCATGACCGCTTTATGGTGGCACTGCGGGTTAAACCGCAGAATGCTTTCCATGACCTAATGCTTTATGGTGGCACTGCAGGTTAAACTGCAGAAGCCTCTGTGCTGCAAGGTCAGAAGACCTGCAGTCGTAAGATCGAATCCACATGGTGTACTGAGCCCCTGTTGCTTGTCCCAGCTCCTGCCAACCTAGTGGTTCGAAAGCATGCAAAATGCAAAAAATGCAAGTAGATAAATAGGTACCACCACGGTGGGAAGGTAACTGCATTCGGTGTCTAAATTGCGCTGGCCACGTGACCACAAGTGTCTAAATTGCGCCGGCCACGTAACCACGGAGGATTATCTATGGGTTGGAAACAGAGATGTCTAGAGTCTAGATTGTCTAGAGTGTTGGAAACGGAGATGTCTAGAGTCTAGATTGTCTAGAGTCGGACATTACTGGACAAATTGTCAAGGGGAACCTTTACCTTTACCAGGTTAATTCAAGATAGGTACCGTAGTTACTTTTAGTATGTTGCATGGTAATTCTTAAATAGACCTTTAGCAGTTCTATGCTGTTAAGTTAGCTGATTGTGCTTCTACTGTGGTTGCTCAAATGCCTCTTCCCCTTTGTCTAGGTCAGCCTTCCTTGCTGCTCACATCCCTCTCTTCTTGTATCCCTTCTTGCATACTGTCGGTTAATTCAGGATAGGTACCGTAGCTACTTTTAGTATGTTGCATGGTAATTCTTAAATAGACCTTTAGCAGTTCTATGCTGTTAAGTTAGCTGATTGTGCTTCTACTGTGGTTGCTCAAATGCCTCTTCCCCTTTGTCTAGGTCAGCCTTCCTTGCTGCTCACATCCCTCTCTTCTTGTATCCCTTCTTGCATACTGTCAGCAAGACTCGTCCCTTTGAGTATCTGCGACTTACAAGTCTTGGAGTAATAGGTAAATAGCTCCTGTAAAACTGGAAATTAGTAGGGACTCACTTCAGGAAAATGAAAGGATGGTTTGGCACCCATTTGTAGGGCAGAAAAGGGCATTGTCTTGACCTGACATCAGTTTTCTGCAACTTGGGCTGGGAATTTTAACATTCAGAAATATGTGAAATTATTTTGTAGGCTGTGAGCTCCTGGAATAACTTCCTTATTATGCCTCTGTGCTATTTATAGCTCTGGAACTCCTGGGAAGTAGATACTGCAAATGTAGCTATTCAATCAGAGGTTTTTGAGGCTAGATACAAACATCTGTTTCACTTCTAAATTCTCATTCAACTCACTCAAAGTTTATTTTATTAGATTGAAGTATCTAAAAGTGCTATTTATTGATTATGTGGACCTTACCTATTTGATCAAGTGCAAAACTTACACATGCTAGTAGTGGTTATGAACACTCTGATTTTTTTAAAAAAAGAAGTAGTCTTAATCACCTTCTTGATATAGGTTCTCTTCATGGAGCCTTTGGGTCTTTTTATTTGTAACTTCAAGGACTGATTATTGTAATTGACCGCCCCGGGCGGGTGGGGGGGAAGGAAGCTTAAGTTGTAAAAAGGCAGCACATAGCATTTTCATGGGGAACAGGAAGTGGATCATATCCAGCCAACAGGGAAGCACATGCACTGATTCTAGCTAGCTTCTGGGGCCAATTCAGGTGACTGTTGGCCCAAGCTGTAAAAAGTTTCTGCAGAACTTGTAAATGTGTGGTAGCAATGTTCTTACGTTCCTTTGTTTCTTTGAAAATAGTAGAACTTTGAGGATTCATAGTAGGATCTGCTTGAGTATGTGTTTAGTAAAACACAATGTTCATTTCTAAATATATTTTGTTCAGATTTTGCATATATACGCATTAATCTTCCCTGGCTTGCTGCCCTTCAAATGTGCTGGGTTATAACTTAAATAATTCCCAGCCAGTATAAAAAGGAAGTTGTAGCTCATCACATCAAAATGGTGCCAAATAGGGGGGGGAGTGGAGTCATTAATAAATGAAAGCATTTTAAAGGTTGAGTCACTTCCATTCTATAGTTTTGAGTACAGAAGCCTTACATAGTTCAGCATTCAGGGGAAGATTTCATGCAAAGAAGAGAAAATAACTAAAAGGCTTCTTCTTGCATTAATAATAATATATATTTTTTATTTTTCCTGGATCCGTAGCGTTGTGCTCACCCGGCTAATTTCCATTTGTTCTGCAGACTCTTCTATACAGAAATTGACCCATCAGACAGTATTTTAGGGCAGTGGTTCCCAACGCTTTTGGAACCGGGGACCGATTGGGGGCGGCAGGATCCGTGCATGAGTCAGCGGGGGCACCATTGCATTCTCGGGTGGGCGTGTCACGCTCATGGGTGGGGGTGGCGTGCGTGAGTGCATTATATGCCCTGCGCATGCATGCGAGTGCAACACCCTCCCATTGTGCGGGATGGGTGGAGATCTGTCTCCGCGGCCCAGTCCTGGGGCCCCAGACCAGGGGTTGGGGACCCCTGTTTTAGGGTATGCAGAAGATTACAATTCAGTTACATTGATGTCGCCTTTTTCTCAGACAAGGGCGTAATCATTTACTGGGGCTTACTTAGAAATGAACGTCTGAATTTAATTAGATTGGTTTTTGGTTGTCTGTGATTGTTTCTTCAATTTTAGCCAAATTATTTAATGCTGTTATCTGTTGTTTTTCCTTATTTTTTCCCCTAAGGGGCCCTGGTCAAGACAGATGAGCAAGAAGTAATCAATTTCTTGCTGACAACAGAAATTATTCCTTTATGCTTACGCATCATGGAGTCTGGCAGTGAACTTTCCAAAACGGTATTGCTTTTTACAGTGTAATGAAGTGGTTGTATCTGTGTTCTCTTTCTTATTCTTCGTGTTCCCACATGTGGCAGACCTGTTCTCCCATCCAAAGTCATCTGACTTTTTCTCTCTGAGGAATGATTACAGATGTCCCCTATTCATATTCTGTCAAAACAGTGCTTTCAGAAAAAAAGTGAGATAATTGATGTCCATTCTTTTGTTTTACATTTTCTCAGCTAGGATTCTTTCAGGCTTATTTTTTCCAAATAACTAAATAAGTAATTGTTGTACAGGTGTCATCCCACACATAGGTGATATACAAAATATGCAGTTGACCCATGCTCTTCATTTCCAGGAGGGGGATTAGCCTATTGCAACAAAGAGTCTTGTGACCCCTGACAGACTTAAGCTTTTGTTGGCTGTCCCCAACTAGTTTTTGACTATTATTGTTTCTAATGTCAGATAACAAAAGGAATCTTCTTGGTGGTTGCATAAGGTACCGTATTTTTCGCACCATAAGACACACTTTTCCCTAAAGAGTCTTGTGACCCCTGACAGACTAAGAGGTTTCATTTGGCACAAGCTTTTGTTGGCTGTCCCCAACTAGTTCTTGACTATTATTGTTTCTAATGTCAGATAACAACAGGAATCTTCTTGGTGGTTGCATAAGGTATATGTAACATGTTATGGAAAATTGTGGTTAATTGACAAGGTGCCAGGAAATAGCTTGGTTGTACAAGTAAATGTATAACCACACATTCAACTAGGTATACACCAGTATCTTGTCAGTTAGCCACAGCTAGCTGTAACAAGTTGCTCCAATGTTACACAGTCACCTGTAGGATTCAGGTCAGTATCTAATATTACTGTTTCTAAGTAATATTGCAAAACCAGCAGGGAGCATTTCAGTCTGCTTACAGACTTTGTCTCCAACCTCATGGTGGCCATTCTTGAAAGCAGATTGCATAAAAAATCCTGCTGAACAATGTGCATCATGAAGTTCAGCTCTATCTCCTGCCTTGAAAAAGGACAAGCATTTTATATTGTTAAATATACCAATCAGCTCATCCATACAGGTTTTTCTATATTAGTTACCCAAATATTATGGGTTTTATGACAACTGGATAGTTTTCTCTAATTGTAAATTATGTATTCTTATTCCCTGTCCCTCTTCTGATTACTACTGCTAAATCCATTAGAACTGTGGATCCTGCTCTATTTCCTCCGGCTTTATAGCTATCAATCTCCTTATCTGTGTTTGAGTGTGTTTGTCACCCAGCAGTGACTACTGAATAATTGCTGTCATTAAGATCTCTCTCTCATCACCAAGGAATGTCAGTAAACATTAATAGGTATGCTGCTGCCATTTTATCTAAACAGTTGAAGTGTGTTTCCTCATTTCAAAATTCTTAGTAATATTTGGGTTGTTGTTTTACCTCTGCCACCAGGTGGATAGCAAGAGTATTCTCTGATGATGTTGTTTAAAATATGATTTGTATTTGGCTTCATAGCGATCAAAGTATACCTCATAGTTGTTGTGGGTTTTTCGGTTTCTTTGGCCGTGTTCTGAAGGTTGTTCTTCCTGACATTTCGCCAGTCCCTGTGGCTGGCATCTTCAGAGGACGAACACTTCAGAAAGAACAACCTTCAGAACACGGCCAAAGAACCCAAAAAACTCATAAAACCCATCAGATCCCGGATGTGAAAGCCTTCAAGAATACATTATCCCTCATAGATTCATATCTATTTATTTATTTATTTATTTATTTGATATCCCATGTGTTGTGTGGTTTTGTTTTTTTAGCTGTCTGTCTTCACCCTGGCTGAAATCCTCTTCCATAGTGTGTGTAAATGGCCTAATGTTTGGAGGCACGCAACTCTGTAACAGATAACTTCTACACTGATTTCTTAACAAGGCAGTTATCCAAAAGTTGTGCTACTTGTATTATGCCAGCTTAACTAGGCCAGATGATTTGAGTCCATGAGTTTTTGGTGGTGCTCTTGGAATAGGGAGACTCACCATAATTGTACATTGTTGTGAAATTCAAGTACTTGTTCACCTTACCTTCTTCTGTCTTACAGGTTGCTACTTTTATTCTACAGAAGATCCTGTTGGATGATACGGGGCTGGCTTACATATGTCAGACTTATGAACGATTTTCCCACGTTGCAATGATATTGGTAGGCTACTATGTTGTCTTTTACTGCTATTCAAAATAGTACAGTGGTACCTCGGTTTACCAATTTAATGCATTCTCCACAATGTTTCATATTGCGAAAAATTCACAAACCGAAACACCGTTTCCAATAGGAACACATGCATGGGGGGAGGCGCTATAAACCTCCCAGGTGCAATGCATCCTGGGGAAACTTGCTTCATATTGCAAAAAAAAAATTAGTAAACCGAGGTACCACAGTAATCTTACCTTGTAGTCTATGCTCCCACCCGTGGAAGACACAAAGCAGTTCTCTTGATTAATGTTTACACATACTGGATTTTGTCTTTTGTGAGGGTTATTAGAATCCTACTATTCTAGATTTTAATTCGGCCCCCAGTTTTTTTATTTCCCATGTTGAATTAGAATCCTGTGGCAAAATCATAGGTTTTTCCCTCTCCTTTATTCCTGCCTGCAACTTATGTACATTTGGAGGACATGAGAGTGGCTCATTAATTTCTAGAAAGCAGCTGAAATCATTGCTGCCTTGCAATTACTGTGTGTGGTGGGCAAAGTGTTGTTTTACAGATGTTGTTTGGTCACAACTCCCAGCATTCCTCATAAGTCCTTTTTAGGACTGCTGGGAATTGAAGTTAAAACACCATCTGGGTGGAAGGCTGCACTTTGTCAACCCTTGCTCTGTGTGTATAAGCAGTACCCTCATCCATGCTCTTTTGCAGAGTTACCAAGCAAAGGCAATTTATTTCTGCAAGGATTTTATAATCTAAATTAAAATGGAGCAGGGGGAGGCAACAAAGATATAGGATAATGCTGTTATACTGTATCTACCTAAGAGATTTCAAAGATTTCCTTCTTCTGATTTCTGTTGATGTTTTTAAACTAGGGTAAAATGGTCCTGCAACTTTCCAAGGAGCCTTCTGCCAGGTTGCTGAAACATGTGGTCCGTTGTTACCTTCGCCTTTCTGATAATCCAAGGTAGACATCTTAGAAGTTTCTATGAGCCTCTTGGTAGGAATGGAGGGATTGGTGTTGCCCTATGGAAGTAAGGATAGTTGCAGGTGGCAGTGTGAGAATGGGATTTAGGTCCTTTTTGTGTATCCATTGCAAATATCAAACAGAAGCCAGTGATGCCTCTCCCCTGAAAGTATATGCTGATAGATTAAGGTCCAGCTGGATTCTTCTGATCACCTCACAGAGAACCTAGAGAATGAAACATACCTTTTTTAAAACAAACTTACTGTAAGAGCCCCTTGTAATATCACTGGGCCTCTTTCCTTTCTTTCACACAGTTTAAGAACAATAATTGAAACATGTGATTCACATGGTTGTGTGCAACCCTTCAAGGCTGTTTTTGAAGGGCCCCATGACACTCCAAGAGTTGTCAGGATAGCTCAGTGGTTTAGTTCCTTACTTCCAACTATCCTTACTTCCAGTCTGGCTGCAGAGCCAGAGGTTGGGAGTTTGATTCCCCACTGTGCCTCCAGGGACAAGAGACAGCCTGTGTGGCCTTGGGCAAGCTGCAGAATCCCAGGGCACCCTCAGAAGAAGGGAATGGTCACTTCTTTGTATTCTCTACCTTCAAAAACCCTGAAAAGAGAATTGACTTGATAGCACATGAGCATTTTTATTAAGACACTCTTAAGCTGAGGGGGAAAAATTAAAAGACTGGTTTGTTTTGGTTTTTCTTCCCTTCTATTAGAGATCTCCAAGATTAGCAGTTTTTACACTGATGGTGAGCGTGACCTTCCCAATCTCAACCCCACAAACAAACAAAAAAATCTAAATCAGATACAGTATAGCCATTGTTTTGATACCACTCTCCCTTTTTTAAAAACCATTTTTGTCCCTAATGTTGCCCATGTGAGCCTTGAGGTGAAAATTTCACCTGCTGTTGTTGAGTAAAAAAATTACCAGTCCCAGCTGAGTAGATAGTGGGATCCTTCACCCTTCCCCACATGTGTAGATCACAAATGGGGCTGAGTTATTAGCTTTCCCGGCATCTTTTCTCAGTGTGTGCTTCACTCGGCTCGATTTCAGTGGGAGTGGCTGCTATTGGGCAAGGCATTAAGCTTCTTTTCTCTGGTTTGTATTCTTTGCAGAAGATTAGCTGGAGATGATAGGTGGGAGGATGCAGAGCAGGATATAAACGGTGTTGTGTAGCAGATTCTTAGGATTTTATATGGGTGGCTATGGCCTGTGGAAAAGAGGGGGTTGCTCGTCTATCTTTTCCGGAGGGGGCTTGCTCCCCTCTTGTCCATGTGAGTTTATGTGTTGGCCCTCCTCTTTCTTGTCTTCTGATGTAGGGCACGGGAAGCCCTCAGGCAGTGCCTTCCTGACCAGCTGAAAGACACCACCTTTGCCCAGGTCCTGAAAGATGACACCACCACCAAGCGTTGGCTGGCCCAGCTGGTCAAGAATCTGCAGGAAGGCCAGGTCACCGACCCGAGGGGCATCCCTCTTCCTCCACAGTGACAGCCAAGGAGGTGGCAGAACCCAGGAGGAAACAGCTCAGGTTTTCAGAGAGCCAGGAACCAATGACCTCTTCCAGATCCTGTCAGGCATGTGTGGGCAGCTCCTTCGACTGCCAAAAGCCACAGGACGACAGGCCCTTTCTATAGCAACTCTTCACCATGCCTCTGAGGATTATGACACCAGCAAACACAGTTGGAACAGAGAAGCGCTCTTTCAGGGCGTTGGCTTTGTTGTGATGATCAGTTGAGCACTAAGCTGGACAGTGCTGCTGCCAACAGCATCTCCCCCCTGTCTGGTTTGGTGTGGCAGGCTTGGGAAGTGTTCCTCAGTTTCCTTGTTGTTCAGTGTTTACATGTAAGTTCAATAAAGATTGGTCTAGTCATTTGACCCTCTTAGGAGTACCTTTTGAGCTTCATCTAGCTCTTAAACAGAGGAGGCAAGTTTTCCTCTTCCTGACTGGGAATTGTGCTTTTCTGAGAAGAGCCCCCAATCTGTTCTTTTTTATATGTTCACCCATTGGCCTCAGGCCCTTCAGGGTTGTAACTCTGTTGGGTTTGGGAGGGAGACAATAACATAGTATATCCTCAGCTTCTTAAAGAATTGTTCCTGGTATGTTGGAAGGCAGTGACTTCCTGGACTATATTCTTTTGGCCATCCATTAAAACAGTCCCTGCCTCTGTGACTGTATTTGAGCCAGTGCTGAATGTTCCACTGATCCACCTCCACTAACGTCCTAGCCAGTAAAATCCCGAATGCCACCAAAACATTCCGTAAACATTCAGAATGGGCCAGGGAGAGGCTGGTGTTGTATGGAGGCCACAACTTAGAACCAGCAAGCCATGTAGCTTTTCTCACTGTTGCAGTCAATGCCTCTGGGTACTATAAGGACAACTCTGGGCTGAGCATAATAGATGGGACCAAGCACTATTTCAAGCAGCTGGTAAAGGCTGCAGGAACTTGCTGGCTGGTGCTGGAAAGTGTCATGGCTGCAAAACACAAGGGCTGCCATGCTCATTATGTTATTCCCCTGCTCCCAGGCTAAATGCATCCAATTCATCAAAATGACCCAGCCCTCTTTGTTGGCATCTGCTGCAGTTGAAGAGCCATTAAGCAGTCTGCAAAGGAAGTCTTTCCCCTGCCCTTTAAGTGAAAGATAGGGGGAAAGCAGGAAGGAGTTTAAATGGGGGAGTGAAAACATCCCGGCTGTTTTGTCTATTGCGCCACAAGGCTGGGAGCAGGTGGCTTCTGGCTGCTTGCCAAATCCCTTGGCCTCGGCAGCTGCTGCTGTTGTGGGTAGGAACTTATTTTCCCTGTACCCTTTTTCCTTTCCTAATGGCTGGTCAGGCCATGCCAAGAGTGTCTTAACTCTACCCTCTCTGTGTGGACTGCTTTTGCTCTTACAGCGGCTCCCAGTTTTATAACAGCCTTGTTTTTCCATCCCTGCCTTGAGTGGACTTTACCAACTGCTTCTGTTTTGTAACTTGAATAAAAAATAAGCCAAATAAATCCGGATCCTCTTTGACTTAAATGAATGTTTTGGCAGGAGGGGAGAGCGGGGGTTGTACTAAACCATACATGCAAGTATGTGGAGATATCCTCTTAAAACCTCCAAATAAGGGGCAATATTGCACTTCTGTCCAGGTAAGGAAAAAAATTGGCTTTTGTTCCATGTGATCTCTCAAGATGTCTGGATGGGCATTGTGCTGGGCTGAGATGGGTAGCCGTTTCATATGTTAGACTGCTGGAATACAACAGAGATGAGCAGATCCATCGCAGTGGAAAAATTTTCAAACCATATAGAGAAACCTAGGTGGAACCTCTTACTTAACATCTGAGCAAGGATTTAGTTTGAGAAGTAATTATTCAAGAGGATGCCGAATGTTTGTATCAAAACTTTATTGCAACCTTTCATTCTGATACAGTACTTAGGCCAAATGGGGCTACATGACATCAGAACACATCTCTTTGAAGTGTGGAGGAGGTGCTGGGTGACCAAATTATTACAGTACTTTTATTTATTTATTTGTTGCATTTACATACTACCTCAACTGCAGGGAATCCAAGGTGATATATATGGCTCTTCTTGCCCTCTTCACAACAATTCTAAGGCAGGTCAGGCTGAGTGACTGTAACTGGTTCAATGTTTCAATGAGTTTCATAGCTGACAGGATTTGAACTCAAGTCTCCTAAGTCATAGTTAAGCACTAACCGATGTATCACACTGACTCTTCATAGCATATACAGTATGCTGGTGTCAGAGGTTCTGGATTGCTCCAGATTCAAAGTTGCACTTTGAACTTTCATTGTCCATATGTGTGCCTATCTCTTGCAACTGCAACATTTGAACATAAGCACACACAACATACACACAAAGCCCTGCTACTCTAATATCTGGATTTTTTTTGTCAGCAGCATTTTTTTAAGATGACTGATTTTTGTGCTTTGGCCAAAAACATTTCCCCGGCCTAAGGTTTTGCTGAATTTAATTCAAGTACAGTATTTTTGAATTTTTGTATCATAATATTGGTCATATAGCACTATAGTATTGTATCCACTTATAAGCATGTAAGTTTAACTGAACTCAACAGGATTGCTTAGTTAGAATGATTGCAACTGGATTGCAGTGTGCCTGGGTTTATTTTTGTGCTTGGATGATCACAAAAACTCTAGGAAAGAGTCACTAAATACATCTGTCCCTCCATGCATTGTGTATTTAATTGCTTATTAAAAGCAGGAGGTTTTTCACTCAGGTTCTAGTTAAATATTTTTGTTCCCCTGTACAGATTCAATAAATATTTTATATGTTGCATGACTTGTGTTAATTGTTACTAGGATACATATTTTGTTTCTTCTTAGAAAAGGAGTGGAAAATATGATTATGACTTCCCTGTATTAAATCTTAATTTCTGTGTTAGTCCTGGACACCACATCTTAAAACTATAAATGGATATAGAAAGGCAACATTGGATGAAAAGGGACAGGGCATCTATTCAGTAAAAGGTTAAAACAATTTAAATGCTCTGGTTTATTGAAACTGGATTATCAGGATGATCTGTTAGATGGAAAAGGAGCATACAAGGGCTGATAATAGTACAGTACTGTATTCTGTTGAAAGATTAGCACATTTTAGGATTTATTCTTTTGCCTGGGAAACTATGTAGGATCACCAGTGTATTTGTTATGAGCATAAATGGAAAGCAGGGTATGAGGGATGGTTCGAGAAAAGTGAATAAGAAACTAGCGTACCATTAAAATTTATTTATTGAATATGGCAAATTAATGTGTCAGAGAAGGACTAGGAAGGAATAATTATAATAACCAGCCACATAATCAGAGTGCACTATGTACAGTACTTGCTATTGGCTAGATAGACTTTGTACATTTTGTTAAAGACGTAGTACCCAGGGCTGTACATACCTTTATTTAAAATTTAAAAATATGCATTTTCGCAAAACAATCAAGTGTTTGATGCTTGCTTATGTAGTAATGTATACTAAATATATCTGCTTTTTTTTATTGTTAGTTATTCTGCCTGCCAAAGAAGGGACAAAAAAGGATGCAGAACTAAATCTACATTTGCTATATCTGAGTGAGTTGTGTGCCTAAGTACCCTGTGATGCCCTTACCTGTTGTGGAAGACTAGGTGCAGGGACAGCAGGCAATATTCTTGCCAGTGAGTCACATTGCTAGCATCACTTCTGACCATAAACTGTGGTCAGCACTCAAACTATTCAAATACAAGAACAGGCGGTATCTTTATTGGACCACTGAAAAATCAAGCAGACAGCTAGCTTTCGATGGTAATTCATCTTTCTCAGGCTGTGCACCAAGATTTTCTGGGTAGCTGAGAAAAATAATATATCGGCATGTTCATGGTACGTGTTGTTTCTTATGATGTGTTTAGAGGCACTGTGTCAATAATGGGGTGGGTGGGTTTCAAACTCCTCTCCGGGCAATACAGTAGTTTAGAATTTATCGCCCAACTCTTCAAACAAAGAACATTGTCCTCTTTTGAAACTCATGATTTCTATTAGGCTGAGGGGGGGGGGCGATTCAGGCACTGAAGACTTGATAGGCTTTCTTACCTGAAACTGGGTGCTGTTTCAGTACTGACTAGGGATAGGGAATCTTTCTGGATCTTTCCTGCCAGCAGCTGGCCAAAGCCTAGGAATGTCACCCTCTCCTAGCTGCCCAAAATAGCACTGAAATGTTCCGTTAATGCAACAGCAGTAGGACTGCCAGAAGCTTCACTCTTCCCAGTGCATCAGTCAAGAAAAAATCCCATCTGGCATCATGAGACCTAGTTTTCGAGTGTTGAAGGAATGGGCACTGGAGTGACAGTTCCAAGTGAGGATGCAATTTCATTAAAGCCACTGACAGTAGTGTATACCCACTGATTTTCATTGTTAAGTGTTGTCCCCTTCACCACTCCAACAAACCCAGGTGCATTCAGGACATGTCCTCTGTTTATCAAAGTGCATAAACATCTGCTTTTCAAAACATGGGTAATTTGGGTTTTAATTTGGCTTGCAGCAAATTGCAGGTGTGCATTTATGTGGGTGGGCATTTTCAAGGTCCCTGATTCGCTCCTTGGGGTTCATTATTTCTAAATCCAACTTAGATCAGTTAATACGAAGGTTCTTGCTTAGTCAATAGTTTCGGGTTTAGAGGAAAAACAGGAATAGTTTCCCTGAGGCAAGCCCCAAAGCTGGAAAACTGTAAAGACTACCCCAGTTTTCCTAGGCAACTCTCTAGTGAACACATAGGAGGAGAATTCATAGGTAGTGGGAGATTTTTCTGTGTGCCTTTTTGATTTTGAAAGGCAAGTTTCTAGTCCTTAGAAAATGTTGCATAAATAGATTGTTACCTAGCAAAATTTCAGACCCTGAAGGATGACTGATTAGGTTTGGGGCTTCAGTGCATTTCACAGACCCTTGAACCTCCATTGCAGTTCAGGAAGCCTGCCTGTTTTAGACACATAATAGATTTGGACTTAAATTGGTGTAGAATGTGGATTGCCCACATCAGCAGAATGTTTATTTTATTCTTTCATTCTTAAAGCACAACATAGAGCCTGACTCCTACCCCTGCTCTCTATGTGGAAGAGCTTCTCTATCTCATTTGCCTGTTGCTTGCAGCCTTCTTTAGTAGTTTATGCTACCAAAGCTACTGTGGATAAGATCAGTGATCAATTTCTAAAATGAGAGGTGTTGTGACCTAAGCCAGTCTGAAAACCACACTTTCTAATCTCTGGTATGCATTGGCCATGCTCAGAGGCACTCAAGCTAGTCCTAGAAAAGACATCTGGATAGAAGTACAGTATAGTAGTAGGATTCTAGAGGTGAGTTCGGATTCAAATCAAGTTCTCTTTAGGAAACGAGAGAAGGAGGTCTGCGTACGTCCACTTACAAGTGTACATATTGTTGCTAGTTGTATTATGTGTGCCTCCCGTCCCTGCTGGCGCCAAGCTTCCCCGCTCTTGAGTTTCCACCAACTCTAATAATTAATGAATGATATTCAGTCAAACAATGGTCTGATTGGCTGAAAACAGCACCCTGAGCAGCACAGAGTGTTCCCTACCCCTCTGGAAGGCTATATAGATAGTGGGGCCTTGTCATGAAAATGCTCAGAAAGAAAAATCCTGGAAGACCCATTGAGTTTCCATTACCTGCTTGCTTTTCAAAGCAACAATAGCGCAACTATGATGCTCAGGTTTCAGGCAGTGTCATAGAGAGAATACAAAACTGTGCTTTGGCTTGTTATTCACTGGGACTGAAATGCTCTCTAATTATCCTCCACATTTTCCCAAGACTGCATTTTTGTCTCCTTGCTTCTGCACTGCTCTCACTCTCTTTTTGGGTACACATAACATTTGCTCGGTTTTATTGAGAGTGTTACACTTAAGAAAAAGAAAATGCACATTTTCCAATGCTTGCAGATTTCAAGTTACAGTACATTTAAACAAGACACACATGAACCTGGCATTAAACGAGCATCTTGGAGATTAACATTTGGCAGATTCTTTTATCTTCAAGACTCTTGAGCAAGAAATGCAGATAAATCCCATGTTAGCCAAATCCTCTTCAAATGAAAAACATAGTTTCAAAACACCTTCCTAACAGTAGAGACATTTGAATAACATCTAAAATCTTTTGTTTCCCAGGTGTGCCTTCTTTTGTTTTTGTTTTTTTTCTCACTTGTTTCACCATCACAAAATCAGCACAACCGTGGTCCTGAAAGCCATAAGACAATCTCATGTAACAAACAGTGGGTAGCTTCACAGATGGCAGTAAAAGTCACATTTGTGCTAATCCAGACTTGTTTCCTAAGCCATGAAGTTCCTGGTAAATGAACACACAAAATGTGACTTCTGTGGTTGGTCAAGGAGATAACGTGGTTAAGCCAGTTAAGCGACAAACCGTAATTGTGGGCTTTAAATCGTCCCATGATTTAAAACATAGTAGAGTTTGTAAATGATCACAGGTTTGTATTCCAGTTTGTAACTGGTTCACAAACCATAGCTCATTAATAGAGGGACGTGTGGACTTCTCCACAACAAGCCATATTTCAACGAACTGCACCATGGTATCTCATGACGTAAGAATACATCATTAACAGCTAAATGGTTATGCAAGATAATAAATGTTGTGTGCTGGAGAAAAACTCCAGATGTAGTGTCCTATAAGTCCTTTATCAAGCAAGATTGAAAACCAGTGGCTTTAGATCAGATTAGTTAGGAAGTCACATGCTATAACTATTAAACACAATACAATAAAGGAATATAAATGTTCAAATCTGTGTTGCTTTTGTTAATCACATTTGTATGGGGTTAATAAAAGCTTCCCTTTGCAGCTTAGGATAGAATACATTTCATCCACATAATTATAGAAAGGATTAGGCTAAGTCAGTGGTTCTTAACGTGGGCGATAATGCCCCCCAGGGGGCGATTTCATTTTTCAGGGGGGCGGTAGAACGAAAAGGGGCGGCGTGGGGGCGCTGGAGCAGAAGGGGGCCGCCTGTGAAGATGGATGCAGTCTTTTTACAGTGTGCATGAATATATATTTTCCTCCAATTTTAATTTAGTTTCAGACTTTTTGTCTTGAAATTTTTAGTTCCTGCATTTGTTTTTATGCCCTTTTAATATTTCTTTTTGTGTCTTAAAATTCACTTGCAACTAAATCATTAAATGTTACTTTTTGGGGGGCTATCAAGCAAGATTGAAAACCAGTGGCTTTAGATCAGATTAGTTAGGAAGTCACATGCTATAACTATTAAACACAATACAATAAAGGAATATAAATGTTCAAATCTGTGTTGCTTTTGTTAATCACATTTGTATGGGGTTAATAAAAGCTTCCCTTTGTAGCTTAGGATAGAATACATTTCATCCACACAATTATAGAAAGGATTAGGCTAAGTAATTATGACTTTCCCAATACGAGAGTGGAACGTTTTGAATCCAGCTCTCTAGTTGAAGTCCCAGTGATTATGACTTTCCCAATACAAGAGTGGAACCAGTTTTGAATCCAGCTCTCTAGTTGAAGTCCAGCTCAACTTTTTCACCCACTATACCTCACTCTCCCTTGATAGCATGTTTTGAAACATTTCTCCTATTTCCTTGTTCCTCTTTGAAAATTATTCATCTACAGGCCATTTATAAGCCAATTGCCATCATAATGACTTTTAGAGTCATTTTAACACACACACACACAGAGACAGACACACACGCCATCGACTTTTAGAGTCATTTCAACACACACACACACAGACACACACACACATCTTTTGATGTGAAGCATTTGCGTTATCAGTTGCTGAGAGTTCTGCAGCTGCGACTTTTAGAGTCATTTCAACACACACACACACAGACACACACACACATCTTTTGATGTGAAGCATTTGTGTTATCAGTTGCTGAGAGTTCTGCAGCTGCAAAAAAATGCACAGAATGCACTTTCAATGTCGTGTGAGCTTTTCTGGAAGTTGAGTCATGGCGACTGGACTTCTTTCTTATTAGGTTGCAACCTTTTGCTACTCATCCAAGTAGCTTCTTCAGTCTGAGGAGAGTTGGTAGGAGACCCCCGGATATATCCTCCACGTTGGTTTCACGTCCCCCTGGTCTGAATAGGTGAGCTGTGCACTGAACTCAGTGCAATTTAAATGTGACGTCTCAGCTAAAAATCATATGCACAGATCCATTGTTTGCACCTTTTTCATCCACCTCAGGATAGTAGGCAGAGCTGGCTGAGATCAAGAGATTCACGGGCTGATGAGGGGCAGGGAGAGACTTGTTAGGACAAGGTTTGCAAACTACGGACTTTTTATCATATATTTCCTCACATTTTATTAGTACATTGGTAGCACTCAACCAGCAAAGGAGGAATTAGGTAGTGCCATTTACAGGGCACTGTAATTGTTTAAATATCTAGGAAAAAACCACCAGGGTGACTATTAAACTCTGTGTCAGGGGTGAAAGAAGAGAGAGAAACAAGCTGTGCAAAATGAAAAAGTAACCAGAGGACAGTATAGGCATACATTTAAAAAGTGGAGACATTCCACTCTGGAACTAGCCCATTGTTTCCACGTGCACCCCTTCCTCTTTGTAGAGCAATGCTTTGTAATCTGAAGTATGCCATCCCTTTCTTATGCTGTACATTCTTCCCCCGTTCCCAATTCACCAGCCACCTCCTTACCAGAAGCAGTTACACACACACAAGAATCTGGCTATGTCCAGAGACCCTGCAGGTTCCTGTGTTGCATCATTTGTAATTCACTGCCCTAAACTAATAAGTTCTGAGAAATTGTGTGTTTTGAGATAAATTCAACAAACCCATTCCAGTTTGAGACCATGCCAAGTCCTTCTTCATCCAGTTCCTTTGGACTTAGTTCCACCCATGGCCTGAATTCCTTCATAAGACAATGTACAATAGGACCCCTATATCTGCTAGAGATTGGTTCTAAGCCTCCATGGATACTGAAAACCATGGATAATAGCAAACAATAGATAGCAAAGTAAAAAAAAAAAAAGGGGGGGGGAGAAACAATTATTTTCACATGCATTGCCAGAACTGACCACTAGTGCCAGATATCATGCTATATATTTTTCAGTAACAAACACTCATAGCATGGTCTCTAGCTCCCTTTAATGGCCAGTTCTGATTATACATGTGAAAATAGTTTTTCTGGATTTTTTTTTCTCTTAATATTTTTAATATTTTCAGATCGTGGATTCTCATGGATAAAGGGATCCTATTGTAATGTTTAATAACGAGGCAAGAGGCACCCCTTAACTGACACATTTTAAAGAAAGGAGACAAATCAGAGCATGGGACATTCATTCTGTAACCTGTGATTTAATACACAAACAATGATATTCATGATTTATGAGACAGAATGCAACTGGGCAGGAGCATTCATCTTTGGTAAAAGGCTGGACGGGGAAAACCATGACCCTCCAGATATTGTTTGGTTTAAATTCCCATAGGCCACAATACAGGTTAGTCAGTGGCAAAGGATTGTGGAATCATGGATCATCAGTATAGTATCTGGAAGACAACATCCACCTTGGTTTTGAGGTACAAGTCATCAAGGGAAATTCCTGTTGATTTGACTGCCTTTAGATCTTCTGAAGGAAAGACCGATTACCCATTTGGATTAAGAAAAATATCATGATTGTAGCTCATGGTGTGTATAGAGTAGCCTAGGTGACAACTTCTCTACTTCCTTTTTTAAATAGTCAGTATAGCTTTGCAATAGTTAAAGAAGTTTAAGCCAATGTGCTGTAGTGGATGAAGTGTTGGACTAGGATTCAGGAGACCTGGGTTCAAATCCATACTGAGCTGCGAAAAGTCAGTCAAGGATGGCAATGATAAAACATTCCATGAACATTTCACAAGCCTGGAAAACTATTGGAATCACCCTAAGTTGGAAGTGACCTGGTAGCACATAGCAACAATAGTTTAATGTAATCCTCCTGGTCTCTGAGATCTTCTGGGGAAGGCTTTCTCTTGGTCTTACAGCCATGGCGGGCACATTTGATGGGGACCCAGCAGAGGAGATTTTTGAGATTCGTGCTCCCAGTCTATGGACTTCCCTACCTCATGAGGCTGAGTTGCCCCCCTCCTTACAGTCCTTCTGCTGGCACATGAAAACATTTATTTCTATGTTGGTTTTTAGAAGGAGCTGCAGTATATTTTATCACTATTTTTAAAATCACATGTTTTTAATTTGTTTATCTTTTTAAACTAATGATGTTTTAAAAATTCTTTTGGTTTAAGCCTATTTTAATGATAATGTCCTTATTGTGATTTTATACATGTGTTTTAAAATTGATACATGTCGCCTCGTTATAATTTGTTGGAAAAAAGATGGGGTATAAATAAAGTAAGTAACTAAAAATGTAAGCACAGTTAAAAAGACTAAAAGGCTCAAATCATTTATTTTTTTTGTCCACAGAAGCCTATGTCATAATAATTTTTCGATTTTCAAGATACAATTTGATTCGTCTTGGTAGTAGGCAGAGCAAATAGTGGTTTGCAAAGTAAAACTCCCAATTCTGCACTGTCCATTTCTATGGTATCTGCCTTCTCAGAAGAATTATACCTTCGCCATTGCTTCCTGAGATACATTTATGCATTTTAACATATGCGTATCCAGCATAGCTTATTCCTCAGGCGGATTTGACTGGCTCTTCCCGACAGCTGACTGACAGGAGTTGAAGATAGGCTTTTTCTTGGTCTGCTAATTCCCTGCCTCCAGGAAAAATAAAGGATGTGAAAGGACAAGGCTGATGGGAACAGGCATAATTTGTGATATTCCTCCTAGGTTGTACATTTTACCAAAAAAGGGGCTAACTCCTAGTGGGTAGGAGTTTCTGCCTGGGTATCAGGACAGAGCCAAAAGAGCATGACTGGGCATCTACCTCCTTGTGAGCTGCAAACTATAAGCTGATCTGTCGGAGCAGCTTTTGGTCTCTGCACAAGGATGATGAGCTTTGCCAGGTGGCCGGGTGACAAGACCATCCTTGGCTCTGCGCCTTTAAGTGTGGAGGCAAAGCACTGGGCAGGGCTGAGCTGCTGTGAGCTCATTTTGCTTCTCCTGAGTGCAAGCTCAGCTGCTGCATCGTAACAGCTCCAAGTACCAACAGCATGAGGTGGTAGGGGCAAAGGCGAATAAGGTATTTGGAGCAGGAGCCGCCATGTCACCTGAAGACACAGAGATATCCTGAGACCGTACCCTTCTCCCCAACCCTGGGATCCTCCATCTTCTGGTAAGAAAGTGGGATTGCTAAGGCTAGGTGCCATGAAAGAGAACTGAGCCTTTTGCTGCAGTATTCTCTGGGGAGAGAGAGAGAGAGAGAATGACAGAAAGAAAAAGAAGAAACAAGTGACTGAAAGATTGGGAGGGAGAGGGATCTGTTTTGTAAAATGTGAATGACTGGGCTCAAGTATGCAGGGCAGTTGTACCCTCCATCCTCAAACCCTTCCTCTAATTATGGACATACACAATTCATTGAAGTTCCCTCATGGCAAGGGAAAGGAACTCTGCATGTGTTCAGAGGCATGATAATTTCTCATGTTCCATGGCTAAACCACAACAGCATAGAAAACAGCATCTGGTAGACTTGGATCTTGAGAAGTGAATTATCTAGGAGGGTGAGTTCATGAGGACAGATAAAGGTCTAACAGCAGATGTGAGTTTAATGCTCATTGAATGTTCATTCACGTGAAGATAGAAGCACATATGTGCTTCCCCGTTTGGGTATGTGTGGATTGCTTGATGTTCTATGTGAGATAAGCTGTTGCACATCTCTGCTTAAGAGTAGCGGTTTAAAATAACTTCAGATGGGATTTTAACTGTTGAAGACAAACATGGACAAAACAAAGTACAGTAGAGGTTATGAAGTGTCAAGGGTGGTTTGTGTAAAGAAAACATCTGGGTACCACAGTCTTAAGTAGGATGATACACTGAAGCAAACCACAAGGCAAGAGAGCCTGTTAAATGAATTCTAGAGTAACGGGATTTCCTCCTCTTCTGCTCACATCTGGATTTGGGACTCTGAAGTGCACTTGTGTTCATTTAATTGGGGTTCTAGTGTATTGGGAAATTATGCTGAACCCTTATCACTGGGCCACTCAATCATAAATGGCAAATATTGGGGAATTAGATTCCTGATAGATTTGCTGGTGGTTTTAGAAGATGCAGCTTGTCTAGCTGGCTGCTGCTTAGCAGCTTATTCTGAGGGTTTCAGTCATATACTGTACAAACTTTTGGAGATTAACATCAAAGTAGGTGGGAGACAGAAGCGATGGTAAACAAGGTGTCAAAATAAGAGAGGACTGATTGAATCTCCTTTAAACAAAATCAAATCTGTGTGAACAGGGAAAGAAATTCAATCAGAAGAATTTTCAAATGTTCAGAAACAGGAGAAGTAATATTTTTTTTTTATTACACTGGGATTTGGTTTGTTGCATCCCATGGTCTAGAGAAACTTCTAGTTGCTTTCAATTAAAAATATTTTGTGTATATCTTATGAAGAAACTCTGGTTTTTCAAAGTTCAGCCTGATCTCATCCATGGTTACTCAGAAGTCAGCTACAATACTTTGTGGGGCACCTACATCTGAATAAGGACAAATGTTGCAGTATGCAGACTGACAGTGAGACAAGGCATTGTTATTCATATTTTACAGGGAGGGAGTGATCTTGTCTGAAGGCCTGCCAGCAGATCTGAATACAGGTCTTCCTGAGCCAAAATCAACTCCCCACCCCCACCCCTGGAATGGCAGAATGTAGTTTGAAGGAACACTGAAAAGTTGCAATCATTTTCTCATTTCCTTCGGTCTGGTATCAGAAATGCCTTTTTCAGTTAATGACAGCAGGAGCCCAGCTTGACTAGGGGTACAAACACGGCTATAGCTGTTCAGGTAGGGTTGTGCTGATAGGGGATCTCTGGCCTCTTTGCAATGCTGAGCTTCCAGTTTGTACAAGATGCTTCAGTTAAGCAAGCTGCTAGGAACCCCCTCTAGCCAAAACTCCAGGTGAAGCTTCTTCATTTCTTCAAAGGTGTTCTTCATTTCCGGTCATACTGATTACATGCCTGTAACACTCAAATATTAATGATTCCTGGGTGTGAGGGTTCGTTGGGGTGGGCTGTTCTCTCCTCAATAAACGGACGAGGCATTGAAGGCATATCAAAAGGTGTTGTATTTATTTCAATATTAACATCAACCGGGTTACCCCCTACAAAGGGGTTCAGGGAGTTCTGTAAAACATGGCTCGGTTTCAAAGGTGTCCATAAACTATGTACAAAAGGGTTCGTCGTCTCTGGATTCCAAGGACCTGTTGTAGGTGGCACAGGCCTCAGTCCAGGGTTCAAATCTTCATCCAAGGAGATCAAGGGTAAGGTCTCCTCATCCCCACTCCAGCCGTCCCAGGAGGACCCCTCTCTTCCATCTGCACCCCAAGGGCCGGGTAACCCCCCAGCTTCCTCAGTTCGGCGATGTGCCATTGTTTCTATCTCTCAAGTTCTCTGGCGACCGCCTCTCTTTCCTCTCGAAGCTTCCTCCTCCACTCCTTAGCCTCGGTTTCCCCCCAGTATGATGGTCGGGGCTTCAAACCCAGCTGCCGGCGCTTCTCTGCTTCCTCATGGGGAACCCGGACCTGTTCCCACTTGTGGGTCCAGGGATCCTCCATCCACACCCATTCCCAACCGCCCGGAATATCCCTCGCCCTCTCCCTTATATCACCCACCCCCGCTTCAATCTCCTCCCCTCTCTTTCCCGCCTGAACTCGCCCCGGTTCCCGGGTGATTTTTAACTCTTTCATGCCCTCCTCTAGGTCATGGGTGTCCACCCCCGTGTTTAGGGTAAGGGATCCGACGCACTCCTTCCCCCAATCAGGGGTCTCCACTCCTTTCTCTTCCCGGCGCGGTGGGGATGGCGGGGGGGATGTCTGGGTCTGGTTGTTACTCTTCGGGAGCAGCGGCACTCCTACCATAGCCTCCATTTTGGGAGCCTCACACTGGGTTTGTGATTTGTTTGTTTTGTTTTGTTTAAGTGATAGAGCTGGGTGTTGTTGTTTTTTTAAGTAACAATAGAGCTGTTGTACTTAAAAATCCGTATTTCTTTCCTGTGGGTTTCTCTGGAAAACCTGTGTTTGTGTGTTATGTGGTTTTGAGTTGCATCTGACTTAACAGCAACCGCAATGATTCCATGCCTTGGATCCTCAGATGTTCTTGGACGACAACCCCCAGAAATCCTGGCCAGCACATCTAGTGCTGAAAGCTTCTGGGAGTTTTAGTCCAAGACCATTTGGGGACTCAAGGTTGAGAACTATTGAGCAACACTCATAAGGTTTTCAAGGTGAGATATATAAGGAGTAGTTTTATTAGTGTGACGCGCGCACACACCTGCAGTGAATTTCAATAGCTAAGCAGGGACTTGAACCCAGGCCGCCTGAGTCCTAGTCCATTATTTTGTCCACTAAAGTAATGGATTCACTTTGCCCGTTACACCACCCTGGGTGCCTACTGCGGCCAATAAAACCATGTCGAAGTACATGTGTGTCTGCAAGTGTAGCTGGACTTCAGGTTCCTTCATAAACAACACGGGTTGTGGTGGCTGTGACTGATGGGAACTGCAATCTAACAACCTCTGGAGGGTCATATGTTCCCTATACATCATCTAAAATGTCACAAAACAGAGCCCCCCAAAAATAAATAAATAAATGAACAATGGTTGTTCTGGGTTTTTTGGGCTCTTTGGCCGTGTTCTGAAGGTTGTTCTTCCTGACGTTTCGCCAGTCTCTGTGGCTGGGCATCTTCAGAGGACAGCAAATAAATGAACACCTTTTAGATCTGAAAGATTAACAAGCCTTCATGGAGTAAGCTACTTCATCTGGTGCATCATATCTCATGAATATGAAGGTTTATGCCCTAATAAGTTTTGTTAGCCTTTTAGTAGGTTACATAATTCTTTGTTTTGTTTTGCTGCAACAAATTAATACAAAAATCGCTCTGAAAATGGCTAATAAAAGCATCAGCAAGCTTTTGCATTCCTCAATACGCTTAATCAGGGAGCATGTTAAACAGGGATTGGCTGAAAGACAGAAGACACTGTTAACTCACTATAAAAAGAGAGAAGCGTGTGATATATTTTAAGCAGTCTGCATAAGCCTCTTCCCTTCTTCTCCAAGGGGCTGCCTAGGCCAGCATATGGGAGAGAATGATGGCTTCGCTTTCCATTCTTGTGTATGCAAAAGGGAGAAGGCAAGCTATTCCTTCCTGGTGGACCAACACAGGACGTTGCATTTCTCTCCCAAACTGCAGAGGATTTAAAAATAAACTCTGTGGTTCAATCAAGATTGGATTCCCTCCACTTTATAGGCCAAAAGCAAAAAACAAAGAAAACCCCACAACAGATTGATTTTATGTTGTAAAGGCAACAGGATAGTCATAAATTTGGACATGCAGGTACTTGATGTAATAGTCTTCATAATGGCCTGCCTCATGAAGAGAGTCCAAACTGGATTGCTAGAACTGAGGAGCAGGTCTTTTGTAAAGCTGATGGCTTTAAATTCATATCATAGAATCTTTGTAGGATTGGAAGTTACTTTGGAGGTCTTCTAGTCCAACCCCCTGCCCATGACAGGAGACCTCATAGCATCCTGGCCCTCATACCATCCCGGAGAGATGGCTGTCCGATCTTTTCTTGAAAACCTCCAGCGATGGGGCACCCACAACATTGGGTGGCAAGCTGTTCCACTGCTTAATGGTTCTCACCATCAGGAAATTCCTCCTTATTTCCAGGTTGGATCTCCCTCTGATGGGTTTCCACCCATTGGTTCTTGTCCTGCCCTCAGGTGTAATGGAGAATAAATCAATGCCCTCTTCCCTGTGGCAGCCCTTCCAATATTGGAAGACTGCTATCATGTCTCCCCTCAGTCTTCGCTTCGTTAAGCTAAACATACCTAGTTCTTTTAGTTGTTCGGTATAAAATTTAGCCTCCAGTCTAGTACTGTAATCACCTTGTTCTTTTCTAGGTGCTTACAAATCTGCTGCTTGATTATTTTTTTCAGGATTTCCCAGATATTGATGTCAAGCTGATTGGTCTGTAGTTTCCTTGATCCACTTTCCCCCCCTTTTTGAAGATTGGAACCACGTCAGCTCTTTTCCAGTCCTCTGGCAATTTGCCTGTGCTCCAGGAGGTCTCAAAGATTTCATTCAGTGGTTCTGAGATCACATCTTGCCAGTTCTCTTAGTACCCTGGAAT